ATTTCACAGGCCCCACCCCTCCTTAACCAGGACTCTGGTGGCAGTGGCAGGACCCCTCGCAGCCAAGAGCGCCTTTCCTACCTGCCTCTCTGCAAGAGAACTCCCACGATAGCCACACTCAGGCCCCTGATGTGTCATCACTTTTCTGTCTTACATTTTCCATGAACTGATATTGTGTATATGGGCATTTGTATGTTTGTACATGTATGTGAATATGTATGCATGCCCATGTGTGCAAACATGTGTGCATGTGTGTATATAAGTTCATGCATGTGTGTAAATTTGTGGTGTGTGTATGCTTGTGTGTGCATATGTGTATTAGTATGTGTGTATGCATGTTTATGCAAATATGTGGTGCATGTGCATGCTTGTGTGTGTTTGGTTTGTTTCTGTCATCCCTACTACAAGCATGTGGACAGGAACTGTTTGGGTTTTTTTTTCAATGTTTAATTTCACCAGCCAGAAAAGTTCATGGCACAGGATAAAGAATCAATAAATACTTATTGTATGAAAAGAAATGTAATCATCTGTTAATGGATGAACTATTGGGCACAAAGTGTTTTATGTTTAGTAATCCCCAGAGAACCTTGAAGTGTTACTTCTTCTTTATCAGCAATGTGACTGTTCCGTATCACAATTTCTTACTGAGATTTCTAAACGTAATGATTAGTTTTGTGCACATGGAACCTGAGGGTCTATACACATGAGTGCATTCATATGTCTATTTGGAAATACAAAGAGTATATGATGAGTATATGTGCCAATACACAATGTATTACATAGCATAGACTCTATAATATGTACTAGTAAACATGGTGTTTGTATATTCAGACATACTATAGCATATATTTATTTAGAACAGTGATTCCCAACCTTGTTTTGTTCATGCCCCACCTAAGCATCTCTAAAATCCTGATTCCCCCGTTACATCTAATTCTTTTTTTAAAAAATATTTTATTGATTTTTTACAGAGAGGAAGGGACAGGGATAGAGAGTTAGAAACATCGATGAGAGAGAAACATCGATCAGCTGCCTCCTGCACACCCCCTACTGGGGAAGTACCCGCAACCAAGGTACATGCCCTTGACCAGAATCGAACCCGGGACCCTTCAGTCCGCAGGCCGACACTCTCTCCACTGAGCCAAACCGGTTAGAGCACATCTAATTCTTATTATTCAGAAAGTGAACTCCTATCAGCCTAATAGGCCATTAACTTGGTCTAAACAAGCTTCGAAAGAACATGGCATCCATGAAAGAGAAAAATAAAAGAACAAAAGGACAGTTGAAGTAGTGAGGGAGAAATCACTAATAAATTGTTAAAATAATAATAATATGAAGTGATATGAAAAAATAGCAAATAACATTTCAAAACATAATGGAGAACTGAAATTCATAAATATGTCACAAAATATACTTATATTCTGTATGAGGCCCCTAGAACCATAAGAAATGCAAAAAAATTCACTGTTAATAACTCATTCTCAAATTTCCCCCCTTAAAAGTCAAATTGCCCCTCTTAAAAGTCAAATTGCTCCCCTGTGGGGGACCACTGATTTAGAGTCTAAATTACTATATACCACATATTAGCATATGTAGCCAATAGCTAATTTGCTATATGCTCACTAAACTATCATCAGTTAAAGAGGAAAATTGAGAATTGTAGACTACTTTAAAAGAAATAGGATTTTCCTTCTTTCAACATAGGGGAAGCAGTTGGCTCCAGGTGGAAACCACTCACGTGCGGCATCAGGAAATGAGTGGGAGGACTGAAAGGCCTCCAGGCAGGGAAAGGGGCTGGAATGCACTGATCCTTAGTTCTATGGATGAACCTGAACAGCCCACGTGGCAAACTTGTTCGCATGACTGACGCGAAGTAAACTCGGCCAGGCTCCCCAGCAGCTGTGGGCCTCCGATCAGGGTGTCTCCTTGTATCGGCATTGACCTCTTACCTCTGACCCGGGAGCTCAGAGCTGGATGGGGGAAGGGTTCCCAACCCGCCTCTCAGTGCACAGTGAGGGGGTGTAAAAGATGCATCCACCCAATACTCACACCAGAAAGAAATCACACAAGGGGATGCCAGGTGCCAAGGAGACTCCATTGCGGTACAACCACATAATGAAAGACTCTGTTGCTAATGAGCATTTGGCATAAAGTCACAGTTATTGATATGGAACAGTATTCGTACAGTGTGTGTGTGTGTGTGTGTGTGTGTGTGTGTGAGAAATTCAGAGAGTAAAACAATATCACAAGGGCCCGCTTCAGCAGATAAGGGGATGCTTGTTCAGCTCTTCCAGACCGAGGGCCAGGTAAGGCGAAGTGGGTCTCCACCATCTCCCCTCTGCTCCTTGGCCCTCCGGGGGTAAGCGCTTGGCTTCAATGAGGGGGATTAGTACAGTGTTCCTGCATGGATGTGCCTGTAATGAACTGATTGAGTTCCTCCCAAATCCATTCACAGGATTGAAACCCTGCCCCTCAGTGTGATGGTCTTAGGAGGTGGGGGTCTTGGGGAGGTGGTGGAGCCCTCAGTGTGATGGTATTAGGAGGTGGGGGTCTTGGGGAGGGGGTGGAGCCCTCAGGAACGGGATCAGTGCAGGCTCGCTCCCCTTCGTCCTGCCATGTGAGGACATGAAGAAAAGTAGCTGTGTGACCAGGAGAGCCCCTGACCAGAACCCTGCCTTTAGGGGCCAGCCAGTCTGCGGATTGGTGACAGGAGCCCCCTTAGGTCAGTGCCCTGGGCCCTGGCTCTGGGATCCCTGTGCACACTATTGGCTGCCTCATGTCTATGAGGTGAGCATACCTGGGCTGGCATTTAGGTGTGAGGGGTGAGAGGCTGGGGCCACGCTCTATCAGCAGCGCACCTCACCCAGTGCCACAAGCACTGCAGGTGGAGGCCCAGGGGCCCCTTAGGCTCTGGCCCACACTGAGCTTTTCAAGCCAGCTCACCAGGAGGACGCGGACACTATGAGCATGCCCACTGTCCTCCTTCCTCTACCTCCTTTGACTCAGACCCATGGGGGAAGGGAGGATTAATGAACACCTTCAAACCCCAACACACATACAGTGTGTTCCAACTGTGCTTTTGTGCATATCCATGTGGCCAAACATCTGGAAGGATACACACCAAATACAACATCCGTCTGCTCTGGGGGATGAGATTATTTTCTCGCATGAGTTATGATCAGTATAACCATTCTATTTACACATTTAAAAAGGATAACGTTCTCCCTGAGCTTGTTCCCATCCCGGCACCAATCTGGGGCCTTCCCTCTGGGCTGGAGGCTGTGCGCAAGGAAAGAAACAGGGCCCCCGGGTCTGCTGGCCACGCACCGTGGTGGGAGCACAGGCTCCCTTCCGTCCATCTTCCTGCTGCCTCTGCCGTTCAGGTTCTGAGGCGAATGGTTCGGCGGTGAAACCGGACATTTAGTGACTTGCACAGTCACATAACTAGAAAGAGGAGGCACGACCTCACTCCCAGCATGGCCTGCTCCCAAACCCACGCCCCTCCTGCTCAATGTCCACGTCAAGTAAAAGGCAGTGACGGCAGAAAAATAAAACACGCAGGACGTCAGTGGGTGGCCACACGGACAGCACAGAACGCAGATGCTGGAGGAGATTCCAGAGTCACAGCAACATGCTCCCCTCCTCCCTACGTCCGCCAAACCCAACCTGGGAAGCCGGGGAACAACACCCTACAGAGGGGGCGCCGGGTGCTGAGACACAGGCATTTTGTGCTGAGAAGGGAGAGGAACAGGGACTGAGGCCTGTACCCATGCTCAGACCTCAGCCTGCGCGCTCCGTGCACCCACCGCCCATGCAGTAACTGATTTTCCCAGTGATGATACTGAGTCATCAAGAAAAGGTTACATTTTATATTCGGAATTATCTGCTTAAGAAGGCAAGGAAGCATGTAATCTATTTGAAAATGATTTTCATTTCAAATAGTTAGAAACTCCTTTAAAGATTTCTGGTGCTTAAAGGAATAAGGGACAGTTATCTGGAAAACTCACTCACGTGGAACAAGGTCTCCCCTAAAGATTCTAGATCAAGGCGGCTGTGGGTCCCATTTAGTGAGGTGCACAGGCCTTCTCCTTTTGGCATTTCAGGGTCTAGTTTTCCCAGGCCTTTCACCATTCCCAACTTCCAAGCACTGGGCTCTAAATTACATGACGCTAAAGATTCTGACACACGTTTTTGGCCACCTCACATCCCCATGGTGGGCAGCCTCCCCTCCCCCACTCCCAGGTCCACGCCCCCCCCCCTCCAAACACGCCCTGAAACTAAACAAATGATGAGCTATGTTTACAAAACTGACTGATTCCCAGGGTGGGCATAATCATGGCCAAGCCCACCTGACATTTGGCGACATCCCTGGGTGTTTTTGTAAGCAGTTCTAGGAAATTTCTGTTTGGTTTTGTTCTTTGTTCTTGCAAGCACGTTAGTAATGAAATAAACTATCCACTCTAAAAAATAACCATCAAAAAAGATTAAAAAATAGGGTTTATCTAATTTTTTTCTGAAAGCAAGTGTTATTTTTATAAAATGCACTTCCAGGAGCCTCCGCATTTCAGGCAGCACACAGGACCTGCTACCCACCGGCCTCATTGTTTCGCACTGCGCCCCCCACGTTTTGCCCCCAGACACCACTCCTTGCTCTTGGGGAATGTGCAGAGAGCCTGTTGTTTCCCATATGCTGTCACCTGCACGTTTATGTCTGGCTCCAGGCCCTTTTCATGGTCACTGCTGTGGCAGGGTGGGTGTGGCCGTCCTTCCCTTTGGAAGATGAGGAGAGACCTTAAGAGGTGATGGAACTTGCTCCCGGCCCTCCCTGGGCATCAGTAGGTGGTCCATCACAGTCCTCTCCCGGCAGCCTTTCCCTCCCGGCTCAGTGCAGCCCCCTTGTGGGCAAACACCCATCTCTGTGATATTCCGGGTTATGGAGCCCTTCTGCTGCTGTGGTCACCCTGCATGACCAATCAGAGCAGGGGGGCTGCGAGCCTTACCTGGTGTGTTGAGCAGGCGGGACCTCCTGCAGTAGTAGGCCACCTCCTGCTCACAGTGCTCCGAGCTGTCGATCACGGCCTCCAGCTGCCCCAGGCTGCCCCCGTAGTCCAAGGCCATGGAGTAGGGCTTCTCGGGGCTGGCGCCCTGCACACGGGTCAGCTCTGTGTTGTTGTGCTGCACCGACGTCCAGATCTTGTCCTCTACCCAGAAAACACAGCCCAAGGAAGGAGGGTTAGAAGAAAGTTCAGAAAAGGATCACACTGGAAAAAAGAGGCTGGTGCAGGCTGTGTGATGGTGGCTCCCCAGGTGGCCATGATCACCACCGGCTGCTCTACTCATGCCCAGGGTTTGACCAGAGAATTTTTGCTCCTCACAGAGCTCCAGTAGGGGAGAAAGCAGGTTAGTAATCTTAAGAGCTGCTGTTTTGGAGCCCTGATTCCACAGGCTGCAAGCTAAGCATTTAATCCCATTATCTCATTTAAAATCAATGTTACTTAAATCCCAAGGGAGCCAACATGGCCAGGTCAGAAGTGGGGGAAATGCAATGAAGAGACTCAGGCAGCTTGCTCAGGATTGCAGATAGTGACTAAGCAGGAATTGGAACCCAGGGGAGTCCCCCAAAGCCCTCCTCCATCTACTGGCACACCCTCCTTCACAAGAGAAACACTAGCACCCATGGTTATCACAGAAAAACACACGTTCCAGGGGGAAATAAGACCTACACACAGAGTCTCTGTAAAACACACAGTTAACAAGGATAGAATTTGGCAATCCCCATTGAATTCCAAGGCACTTAACTGTAGTTTTTTTTATTATTCATCCTGTTTGTCAAAAGTATTTGTGGAGGCTTACAGGAAAAGAACATGCAGAGGTGAAGACCTTTAAATCAGGGACCTTTAAAACATGCTTTGCCCAGAACAGGGAAAATGGAAGGCTAGGAGAGAGGAGAGGAATGTGAGTTTTAGAAACTGGGAGACCTGTATGTGACGCCTCTTTCTGCTGAGAACAAGCTTAGACAAGTCACCTCACTATGGGGGGATCAGTGTTATCATCAGTAAAAAAATATAAAAATATAAGCACAGCAAAACCATCTCTCCTGTGGCAGGGCTGTTACTGTGGAATAACAACCCAAAATATAAAGTTTCAAGACACTATCTGGGAGGCATCAGACATTCTGTAACAATGACTTAGGGTACAACATTTACTGTGATGGGGGCTGAATTTAATTCTGAACATGCTCATAGATGCAGCCAAGGAGGAAAGCTTTTGTCATCTGAGCATCTTTACCACAGTGACGTCATTCCTCTTCCTCGGTCCTCAGGGCTGAAGAGGAGCCCCACATAGACACCACGTGGCTCCCTCACGCTCACCTCCTCAGTCTTACAAATGTGCAAACCAAGGTCTAAGAAGTAAAAAAAATATGGTCCAAGGCCTATGGGACAAGAATGATGAGCACATACACTGCGCGCAGCCACAGTTGATTAGCACACTAAGAGGCAAGATTGTGACTGGGGATAAGTAATTCTACCGCCTTGTCTGTCAGTGTCAACAAAGTAGGGGGAGGAAAGGGAAAAAGATTTTGAGTTTGGTTTCAATGATCTCTAAAGTATTTTCCAGCTCTAAAAAAGGATGCATTTCTTGCAGCTTAAAGTTAAACTGTGCTCAAACATTCCAATTCATCTTAAGACTGTTTCCTAAGCCAGCCCACTGATAACCCACATGTCTCCAATGTTTAACAGGCAGAATTACATTTTCTCAAAAGTCCAAAAAAAAAATCAGAATGAAGGTTACTGGATTTTGACTTTGAAAGTAAAAATAGTACATGATTCATATTGGTAAAAATAATAATGTTACACAAATAATTAACAAAAATCTTTAAAATGTCAATATAGATAAATGCTGACAAAATAATTAAAGACAAGTAATTTCTTAATAATGCATCGATGTAGAACAGCGGTTCTCAACCTGTGGGTCGCAACCCCTTTGGCGGTCGAATGACCCTTTCACAGGGGTCGCCTAAGACCATCCTGCATATCAGATATTTACATTACGATTCATAACAGTAGCAACATTACATTTATGAAGTAGCAACGAAAATAATTTTATGGTTGGTTCACAACATGAGGAACTGTATTTAAAGGGCCAGAAGGTTGAGAACCACTGCTGTAGAGGGACAAAGAAAGATGGACAGTTTTGAAATGTGCAAGGTTCTTAGAAGCAGAAGAGGGAAACCAAGTCCAATAATAGATGGTGTGTTGCTGCCTCATACTAGAACATTCTACAATATATTGTTACCTCTATATTTTTACCTATGTCTATACAGATATAAAGATGTAGATATGCAGATATGTGAATGCTCAGAGAGAGAAGTAAATGTGTCGCTAATTGTAGAATCCAATCTGTCTCATTTCAAGAGTGATCCACATAACATCATTAAGTCATATGGATTTAGATTTCCCTTGCAATGAACACAGACTTTCATATCTGTATATTCATTCACCTAATTGTTCATACATCCATTAATTGATTTGCTTATTCATTTAATCATTGACTCACTTTGCCAAAATCATATTCTATCTTTGGCAAGATGGAAAAGGAAGCTGTCAGACAATCTTTCATCTTAAAGTCACTACTATTGCCAACTCTGCCTCGGGACCCTCAGGGTGAATTGAAGTTCCGATAATTCAGCTATTGGCACTTATTGGTATATGCAATATTCAGAAGATGCAAAGGGACACTAAGAGCTTCAAAGCACTCCCACAATTCACTTAGATGTCACAAGCCCCCACTGCAAACACAGCAGGAGTGACAGGAAGATAGCTGATTGCTGTAAACTTAGGTCTCTTTGTTGCCTTTCCTTTCAAAGATACCTTTGTCCTCTGACTATATTTCCCCTGGGAGACAGCAGAGTAAAGACTGAAAGCAAATGGGTAAATTGGTGTTATTCTCCCCGAGTCATTGGCAGCAGTGTAGGTTAAGCCCTGACCCAGACACAATAGTAAAGGCCAGTGGACAGTGGCCCTCGTGAGAACGTCCATGGGCCAGCTCCTGCTCCCTGCTCTAGGGCGGGTACTGTGGTTTCGGCTGGGGAAGGTCCATGTGAAGTCAGCTCGGAAGGGTTTTCAAACAAGTAATATTTGCTCTAAACAGTCCATTAGGTGGATGCAGGGGATGCATTCGCGAACCCACACATGCTTGTACTAAAACATGGCCCTGGAAGCTAAGTATTCAAGGTGGTCCTTTGGTCCATGGGTGGGCGAAGGTTAGTGTATGTGGCTGGGCTCTGGAGTCAGAAGACCTGGATTGGCGTGCCAGCATGGCGCTTCCTGGCTTAGCAACCTTGGCCAAATGATTACTTCTCTAAAGTTCAGTTTCCTCTTCAGTAACATCCGAAAAGCAGCAATGAGGCCGACTATACAGGGTTGTTGTAAAGATGAAGTGAGGGGGTTTATGCAAGGAGGCCCGTTATTCACCAAATGAACGGCATTCCACAGAAATCTATGCTGCCCATTATACATAAAGGCATTGGTGTCTCACAGGTGGCCGGTGCTGCTATTGTTAGCAACAGCATCCAGGAGAGGGCAAGCGGAGAGTGGCCTCAGGTAGTTCTCAGGATGGTGTGTAGGTTCTTTCCCAGAGCATAAGGTAAGAGATGCCTTAAGGGGAGAGAAGATAAACTCTGCCCACCCTTTCCTCCCCAAATCCATCGAAATTAATGAGGAAAACACACTCATTTCAAAAGACCCAGAACAGGAATTGCTTTATTTTTGAAGTTTTGGGAACGTCACACGATTCAAACTACAAAGATTGCCTATAACTTGAGAAAGTCCAATTTCATGTAGGGAATGAGGGTGAATCATCTATGCTGAGACTGGAAATGCATTATAAAGTCCTCCAGGCTCCAAACACCAGCCTCTGCTGGCCTGCCTCCAGCACCAGACCCCCAGCACAGGGCGTGTGTCACAGTCTCTGGGGAAGCCTCCGGGCTGCAAGGTGTGCTGAGACAGCCTGCACTGTGGACACGTCCATTCCTTAGAACCTGGGTTCTGCTATGCCAGCTGGGAGATATGAGCAAGTTACATAACCACCTCTGGTTTCCTTCTTGGAAAGCAGGGCTTGTAATATCATTTTACTGAAAATCCTATATAATAAAAGCCTAATATGCTATGTGTCCGGTCATCCAGTTGTCTGTTCAACCTATCAAAGCGTAATATGCTAATAATATGCTAAGGCTGCTCAACCGCTCTCTATGATGTGCACTGACCACCAGGGGACAGACACTCTGACCGGTAGGTTAGCTTGCTTGCTGCCGGGGTCCAGCTTATTGGGACTGAGAGAGATGGGCTGGACATGCCCTGGAGCTTTCCCATGGTCCCTCCCCAGCTGGCCAATCTCCTGCATCCCTCCCTGGCCCCGATCATGCACTGGTGGGGTTCCTCAGCCTGGCCTGCACCCTCTCACAATCTGGACCCCTCAGGAGATGTCGGAGACCCAGTTTTGGCTCGATCCCACATACCAGGCTGAGGGACCCCACTGGTGCACTAATTTGTGCACTGGGTCTCTAGTAGTATTATAATGTTTTATAATATTAAAACTATATGTTCTACATGGACACATAATAAGTTGTTCAACATGCAAAAGAGTTAAGATTTGATACATTGGAACTTTTTCTTTATTGCATTAGAATGAAGACCTCAACTTCATACCCTAGAGAGTTGGAGTTGGGATCTCATCTGGCAAATGAGGTTAAAAAGCAGGATGGAGTGCAGTTCCTTGTACTACAGTTGCTGCTGTACATGATGAATTATTACCATCTGTTCAATTATCTTTTCACTCTGAAATAGCCTCATGTCTGTCTGTATTTATTGATGTCCCTTACATCTCCTGAAATTTCATCAGCAGAATATGTTGTTTAATTTTTATGAACCCAGAAACCTGAAAAAAAACATTGATACTCCCATTTTGCTATCCTGTTCATCCCCTATCATTCATTCTGTTAGGGGCAGAAATAGAATATCGGGGACCAGCTATAATTGTAAGAAATATTAATCATGCTCTGTTAACCCTGATTGTTTTATTCTGATTAAAGAAGGCACATTCTACCCTGGCTGGCAGCTCATCTGGAAATGCATCCCTTCCTCCCATCAGGAGCTGCCTGTTATCATGGAAAGATTAACCTTGCTGCAGAAACCAGGATTGC